GGGGGGGGGGAGTTTTAAATGTAAAGCGCTGATATTTTTAGGGTAGGAAGTTATTTTCTCCTTTTTAATAGTCACATTAAAAACATATACTTTTTTTTACTTTTCACTTTGAATAGTTTTAAACAAATCCCCAACTAGTGACGATAGTTTGATTAACCTCATACACCCGTCTCTGATGTCCCCTTGCCGTCACCGGGACACCCTGGCTTCTCAGGTGTTTCAGGACAAGTCCCAGACCTCATGTCTGCTCATTTCTATGTACTTCGGGTGGCATCTCTATGAAATAGGAACATTTATCTTCTACCGTGATACCCTTTCACACCTGATAAAGTTTGCCGTAATTTGGTATCAGCTAGTGCCTAGTGGCCATAGTTTTTGCCGTTGGCCTGTCTGGACCAGGATGAAAACCTCGCCCTCACAGGTGTGTGGGCTGTGTCTGTAGGTCTCTTCCAGTCTAGGACTCTCTTCTCCCTTCGTCCCGTTGAATGGTCCATGTCTGGATTCATCTGATCGTGCTTACTGTCTGTTTGTGTATTGCCTGCAAATTGGACATTTGCTCTAAAGGCCTTACTACATTTCGGTGCACTTTCTGGGAGCGAGAAAAGTCTCACAGGCGATCCCCTAAATTTCCTGCTGTTTCACATCACCTATGGGGCAAATTCTAAGAGTTCCCACTTAGGGCCGGCACGTCCTAGGTGGTCCCTTTCTCACTGTGGCCAGACAAAGCCTTGGGCTCTGCAGGCACCTTGAGTGATGCCTGGCCTGTGAAGCCACACAGGATACCCTAGCATACCCCATCAGTGTGGGTCATCGGGCCTCGCCTGGGTGAGCACCCCCTTGCACGCCTGGGAATGTAGAACTGGTGGGCTCGGGCATCTGACTAAAAACACCGTCCTGTTCCAGCCACTGGGACCGTGAGCATAGGGTCAGGCTGTCAGGTGTGACTTGATTGCTTCTTGAAGGGAATAACCATGTGCATACGATCATTCTCCTTCCTCTGTTTTGCTGCTGACGGTATTTTGACACAGAGTCTTCTAGAAGTGTATTTTGTTGTAAAGCAGTTGCACATGCTTTATAACCTAGGCCCTCTAGTTCCACAATCTTGTGGGGGACATTGTTGAGGGGCTGTCCTTGACATGAAGGGGCAGGGTTGCTGCCCAGTGATGGGCATGGCCTGAAAGTGGTGCTTAGTCTTCTCCCCAGCGCAGGTATGCTGTTGTCAGGTGTGGATTCCGTTTGTGAACATGAGATCTGCTAGGAGTTCAGAAAATCTCTCCAAATCCAGGTGATGAAGGTGTTCACTGAGTCTGGTGTGGGTTTTGGTCCAGAAGGCTGGCTGTGGACACCTTGCTGGAAGGGCCCTGCCTGCCAGATAAACAGGAGGGGAGGCCGTACTAGGGGTTTTAATCGGTGGCACCATGCGTCCCTCTCCCTTCTCCCACCTCCACCCCTCGGATGACTCAGCAGCCCTGTCGACCTCCTGACACACTGAGTCATGGTTGGCCGGTTATCTGCTCTGTGGAGCATCTTCAGAGACCCTACAGCTGCCTGCTCCACCCCTGGCCTGGGTGGGTGTGCCTGCCTGGCCTCGCTGCGGCGTCTGATAGGTTCCAGAGTTAGCACAGGGGTGCCCGGGGAGCTTGTGGGGAGAGGGGTGGCCTGGAGCCTGCTGACTTCTTCTGTTAGCCAGGCTTGTTTCTGCTGGGAAGAGCCTCTTCTCCTGAGGACAGTGTGCTCAGCAGACAGTTGGCCCAGTGCTTGTGTTTACTACGCTCCGTGACCCTCGTGTAATGGGTCTGTGTGGTTGAAGTCTCATGAAGCCTGGTCCTGCCCACCAAGTCAGCCATACACCCTGACCGCAGACACTGCTGGGGTTGTGCCCTGGATAGGCTCTGTCAGACTAACTGGTGAGGGAGGGCCCCTGTTGAACGTTCTCAGATGGGAGCCTGGGGTCACACAGCAGGTGGGTCGGCTGCCCCGCCGCCCCCGAGTGCTGCCCCTGCCTGGCCTGGAGCGGAGGCCGGCTTGTACCCCGCCGTCCTGGATGGCCCTGGTGCGGTGCCCTGCAGCATCTCTGCTTGTCGGAGATGCCTGTGTCCCCCCACCAGCTGGGGGGCCCCACAGAACCACCTCTGGTTGCCCTGCAGGCAGCCATTCCCGAGCTGGGATGCTGAGCACACTTGTGTTTGTGTGGACAGACCTTGGAGGGGACACAGGGCCAGGGACCACGGCGGCACCTGGAGGGGGCTGTGCGGGAAAGGAGGAGAGGGTTCCTCGTGCCCTGGGTTGGCCGTGCCTGGGTGCCGTCTGAGTTCCACGTGGCCTCTCCCGCAGGCCAATGCGGACCCGTCGGTGATAAACTGTCTGCACACCCTTTCCCGACGCATCGCCACCGTGCTGCAGCATGAGGAGCGCCGCTGCCAGTACCTCACGAGAGAGGCCAAGCTGATCCTGGCGCTGCAGGACGAGGTGTCCGCGGTGGCCGATGGTGAGCGCTGCGGGAGTCTCTCTGCTCCACACATGCGCCAGGGGCCCCGGTCCAGGTTTGCAGATGCAGAGACAGGCACCAAGGCCGTATGTGCTGGTCTGGTGATCTTCCCTGCGAAGGGAGGACGCCCCAAGGGACACAGCTGGAGAGCAGCTCTGAACTGATGCTGGAGATGGATCCCCAGCCCGAACGGCGCCCCGCCTCCCAGCGGCACTGCCCCACGGCCTGTGGTGGGGGGCCGCGCGCAGGGGCCGCTGGGAACGGGGCTGGCAAGGTGGGCCCTTCCCAGTCCCTCGCTTCCAAGTGAAGTGAAGGAGGACCTAGCTGAGTTACCAACGGGCCGATTATTAAAGGTATCATTTGCCAGTAGATCCCCCTGTGGATTTTGGCATTCCATAACACCTCTAAGCACAGAGAAACGCCTACTTGCGACACGCTCCATCTCCATCTCAGGTCAGCGCCTCTGAAACAAGAGAAAACCAGAAACAGGTTTGAAGGTGACCCTGGTGTAACTCTAGCAATAAGTGAAAGTAGTGATCGGCGTACGAGAACTGTCCCACTCAGGTGCATTTTCAGTGAAAACTTGCTTTTTATATTTGACAGCTGTCAAAATGTATAATGTTTTGGCCAGTTATGTGTTGATTAATAACAATCCAGAAGCTGTTTAAAAAAAATTCTCTTTAGAGTCTGTGACTTTATCACAGAAAATTTTTTTTTTTTTTAAGATGTCATTTATTTGAGAGAAAGAGCGTGCAAGCAGGGGGAGCGGCAGAGGGACTCGAATCCAGGACCCTGGGATCATGACCCAAGCTTAAGGCAGACGCTTCACCAACTGAGGCACACGGGCACCCCTATCACAGGAAATTTTTTTTACAAATTCAATTTAACTACATATTTTAAGGCATTAATGAGAAAGGATTAATGAAAGACTTTTGATCATAAAAATAAATAGTATTGGTATGAATGAGTGGGATGAGGCATGGAAGCACCTGCTCACCAGGCGGAAAGTGTCTCTGGGTGTCTGGGGCCACCGGTGAACTGGCTGCAGGGACAGGGGGCACCAGTGGTGAAGTTTCCATACAGATCTCCCATATAAAGACAGTTGAACGCAGCCAAAGTCTCATCTTAATTCAACTGTTTGCACAGATTATTTTCAGTTAAATTTTATTTGTTTTAAGATTTATGTATTTTAGAGAGAGCACGTGAGTGCAGGCGTTGGGAGGGGCAGAGGGAGAGAAAGAATCTTGAGCAGGCTCCCCTGCTGAGTGAGGAGCTCAGTGCGGGGCTCTGTCTCACGACACCCCGAGATCATGATCTGAGTCAAAACCAAGAGTCAGACTTTCAACCGACTGAGCCACCCAGGTGCCCCAGTTAACCTTGTTTTTAAAGGTATTTTCCATTCTAGCCTTTGCATATTTCCTTGCTTTGGAGGCTCTAAATTCTCTGTGTTCTGATTCTTGCAGCAAATGATGGTCCTCAGTCCCCATTTCATCACATTCTGCCCAAGTGCAAGCTGGCCAGGGACCTCAAGGAAGCTTATGACAGGTAAGACAGGTGGTGCCCCTGCCCGTGGGCCTTGCTGCCCATTCTCCTGTTGTACCACTGAGATGGGGGTGAGAGGATTGGGAGTGCCAGCCCCCTGAACCGACCCTGAAGTCACGCATGAGAGCCTGAAATTCTTGTGAGTCATGAGATACAGGTCAGGTGACACGGTGCCAAGTTCTGGGTCTGCCTCCTAAGATGGGTGTCACTGTCATCACTTCACTGAGGAGGAAACTGAGGCTCAGAGGGTGCCCTCCACTCGTGGGACTTGGGGTTTGGGGGCTGAGTTTAGGAAGGCAGCCCGCGTTGCAGACCCAGCAGAGCCTCTCAGTTGTTCCAGTCATATTGGTGTTCCCAGCTTTCTGTGGAGAAGCAAAGAACTTCTTTTCTTTTAAGAGGGTCCACTGCTCCCTGAGCCTGGGTATGCAGGGTGGGTGGGAGGTGGTGGAGGGGGCTCGGGCGGGTGCCCGGGTGACACTTCCCCTGCAAGCTGTGCCCTTCTGCTCCGGGACCGTTGGTTCTCGAGGTGCCACCACTCAGAGCACCAGACATGTTGCTGCACAGTCTGCACCGAGGTACAGGCTTCTTCTCTGGGCCTTGTCCGTGCACGCAGCCCTGGGCCTTCTCGGCGCTTCACTCCATCGGCAGGCTCCACGCTACCCGCTGGTGGTGGGCTGGGTCTGAGCTGTGGCTGGCGAGACCACGTGTCATCCAAGCCCAGGGAGGGTGGCTTGTCTAGCATCCTTTTTTGGTATTAGCGGTTTTCCTGATCTCACCGACAATACATGCTCGTTATTGGTATTTAGGAAATGTAGAAGAGTATAGAGAAAACAGAGCCCATCTATGGTCCCATACCCAGTGATTATTGTTATGAGCGTTTTGGAAATTTTTCATTCTTTCTGCTGTTTTTTAAATTAATTTTTAAAAAAGATTTTATTTCTTTATTTGAGAAAGAGCATGCTAGAGCAGGGTGAGGGGCAGAGGGGGAGGGAGAAGCAGGCTCCCTGCTAAACAGGGAGCCCAATGTGGGGCTTGATCCTTGGACTCCAGGATCATGACCTCAGTCGAAGGCAGACGCATCACGGCTGAGCCACCCAGGTGCCCCGTTCTTTTTGCTGTTTTAACTGAAGCTTTTGAAAAGGTCATGTATCCATCCAGTCTGAAAATCAGTGTTGTGTGCGTTTCCTGCTGTACCACCACCAGGCCCCCGTCCCGGTGGCAGAAGCATGTCAGCAGGCCGGCACGTGGCATGTGCCATCCTGCACCGCTGGCCTGGAGGCACACACAGGTGGACACTGACCCCCTTTGTCCCTTTACACTGCAACGTGTGGACGACCCCTGCCTTCTCAGTTTAGCCGTGTTGCCTTGACCCTGTCTCTACTGGGAAATAAGGGCTGCTGCTTCTGCGGCTACCCAGTTAGCCAGCCCCTGTCCTGGGCATTTCGTTGGCCTCAGCCTCTGGTGCTGCAAGGCCTGATGCTCAGCCGTGCACACGTGAGGTTGTGCACTTGTACCTGTTTATCTGTCCGATGAATTCCCAACAGCAGAATTGCCAGGCCGAGGAGGTAAAGCCCTTGTGATAGGGCGCACGTCCCTGTGGGGCTTTGCCTCAGGCTGCACCCCCACTGGCCCCACAGGAGATCCCTCTTCCTCTGGCTGTGCTGGCCCAGGGTCTTGGTGAGCTGTGTCCACAGCCGTGTCCAGATGCCGCCGTGCGTGTCCCCCTGTCCTGCCCAAGCTGTCCTCAGACCCCCGTCCGTCACACAGGAGGCAGAGCAGGGCTTGCTTTGTCCTGACCCTGGTGATTGCTGGCTGTTAGGGCACAGAAACTCTCGTCCTGTAGTCGTACCCCCTCCCCGCCCTCCCGTTACATCGCTCATGACCACATCGAAGTCTCTGCAGTCAGAGAAGTGCTGCCCTTTGGTCTTGGGCTGGCTGGTGCTGGGAACCGCTTCCTTGGAGCATGCTCCCTTGCTCTGAAAGGTACTCTGCCTGCCTCAGCTACGGTCAGGCCACAGGCAAAGTTCAGGTTAACCCGGACATAAACACCAAACCAGGACCAGACTCGCTATGTCTAAAGAAAGAATGGACTGTGCTTTCTTACATTTGAACTGCAAGCTGGAGGCAGTGAAGGGCTGGGTGGTCGGCCCACCTGCCGCTGCTCAGAACTTGAGGCAGCACAGCGCCCCACAGTGGGCATTGTGTAAAGGAGGCCAGGAATCAGAGTTCTGGGGAAGAAAGGCTCCCAGGGTTCACTGTTCAGCATTTGCCTCCTTCCTCTAGCCCAAGCACCCTAGTGTGTTAGTGTTCAGGATCCCGTTTCCTCTGGGTGAACCCCCACCCACCCACCTTTTCCTATTCCCAGGCCCCACCCTGCCCAGTCGTGGGTTCTGGGGCCCAGCTCCCGCAAGCCAGCAGCAGTGCTACTCTGGTGGGAGTCCCAGGGACAGTGGGGTCCTCCCCTGCACCCTGTCCCAGCCTGCCAATAGCAGGGGCTCCGCGACTGCCCAGGAGCCCCCCTGGGCTGTGGCCTTCCCTTTGCTGCTGCAGGGTGGACTTACCTTGGAGCTGAGAAAGGGAGACGTGGGTTTACATGACTGATCCGGTAGCAACAGAGCCGCCGTCTCCCTTTGGCACAGCTTTCCGGCAGATCCTGGGAAAGGTTTTCTCTGAGCAGACATGAGAGACGTGGAGGTTGGAGATCGGGGTGAGACTTCTCAAAGGAGTTCTGGATTTGCTCTTTTAATTAAAATCCAGGGTTGTGGTGTGGCCTCGTGCCCCGGGACCTAAGTGTCTGTGAGCATAGGCTGGTAGCATGACTCCCTTGGAGCCTTCCCTGACTGTTGCAGCTTCTGTGTCTCCCCCTGGGGCCCGGTGACCTCAGTGAGCGTGCCCCACGCATTTGTGTGACGGTCAGGTTGGGTCTTCCGTGAAGTCGGGGAATGTCCCTTCACTTTCAGTAACAGACCTTGTGGTTGCCTGCTGTCGCTTGAAGGAACGAGTAGACAGCAGTCATGTTGTTGTGGAGTCCATGGCTTGACAAAGTGTTTGTTGAATGGTTTTCAGAGGTAACGGGGCCTGTGGTGGGGCCAGGAGGCTCAGAGCTCAGGGGAGCTGCCCAGGGCCTGGCCGAGCAGGTGGCATTGGGAACTCTGTGCTTGTTCACCGCTGCCTCCCAGTGCTCTCTGCTCAGAGCAGAGATGCGGCCACAGACGCCTCCGCTAATATTCTGGGAGTTTTAGTGCCTTTTTCCATAAAATGCACTTCTGTACACCTTTTGTGTGAAATTTCAAGGTGGGCCTTTTGTAGCCCACTCGGCCCTCTTGAATTGTGTACAGTGTCCCACGCCATGTAGTAGGAAACCTGGCTGTGTGTGGGACCAGAGTGATCGGGAGGTGCTGGGCTGGCCGGGAGACCAAAGAAGGGGGTTTCAGCTCTTAGCTAAAGCGTTAGGAGCTGAAGTTCTTTCTCACGTGGTGAGATGAGAGGGTAACGGAGTAAGCCGGTACACACTGCCTTCCATCTGGGGCGGGAACGATAAGGGCATGTCTTGAAGGCCAGTGTGTTGCCTCATGCACAGTCATCGCTTAGGACTCAGAGCATCTATCTCGCATGGCAGATGGGGCTGGGCGATGCTGTGTGGCCCCGAGTTGTGTGGCAGGCTGGATAAGCCTCACATGGGGCAGCGCCTTTCGTACAGTGTTTCCAGACCAGACATGACTGCCTTGCCAGCAGAAGTACAGACATAGCAGGAACCCTAGAGAGTCTGGTCTTTTTTTTTTTTTTTT